CTTGGGTGGGCTGTCATATTGGCGAAGCAGCCGTACCGCTAACGCTGCCGTTGTCCAAACTGAGCATTTATTTTAAGCCGCGATAAAGTGTTAGCCCGTGCATTTGTTAGCGTAGCTTCTTTATCGCTCAGCATCGTTTTTTGGTGGGGTGGGTGGGGGGCGTTTTCATTGGGCGGTGTGACGCGCAGCGGTATTTCCGATCCATCTCAATAACTGCAACGAAAATGGAAGAGGCGTTTTTGTTTGGAAGCGGCGGCGGCCTTCCGTGACCTTGCGTCTCCCTCCGCAGGGAGTGGTGGGCGGCGTCCTGATCGTGACGCCCAACAACATCATGTTCGACCCGCACAAGTCGGACCCCGTGGTGATCGAGCACGGCTGCGAGGAGTACGGCCTCATCTGCCCCATGGAGGAGGTGCTGTCGGTGGCGCTCTACGACGACGTGTCGCGCATGAAGCTGAAAGACGCGCTGCCCTCGTAAGCCCCGCCCGCACGACCGGTGGTAGAGGAAGAAAAAACCTCGCACGCTTGGCAGAGGCCCTCGGCGGCGGCGAGCGGTTAGGTACGCGCCGCTTATCGCAAGCCGGCCGCGGCGCCGACCCAACCCGACGGGGGCCTCGCCGCCGCGTGACTGTCCGAGCAATGCGGCGGCCGTCGCCGGGGGCGGACCAAAGCTTTTTGCTCATTCCTGTCGTCGTCATCGTCGTCGCTCACAACCGACGCTTGGGCGGGCCCGGCGATGTGTCAACGAGCCATTTCAGAAAGTACATTTGACATCACGACGCGTCCGTCCCCCTTCGACGTCCGCATGCAACATCCCTGCCTTTTGGACGTCCGTTTCCCTTTTTGGGTTGTTCATTTTCTTTCTCCCCTTTTCATCCCCACTCGCCCCACCCGTCCGCCTCGGCAGCGACCTACCCCGGGATCTGTGTCCTGTCTACAGGCCCGGCGAGTGGGAGCGACTGCCCTCGGAGCGGGAGCTGGACCCCTTCCGCCGCTACAAAGCGGCGGAGGCCGGGCGGCCCGTGGTCCTGGACGACCTGCGCTCGGCCCTCCTGGAAACAGGTGAGAAGGCGCCGCCGGAGGAGCGCGGAGCGCCGCTCAGTCGCTGTCGTCCCATCGCAGTCGCCGCGGAAGGAGAGCGGACCGGCGAGTCTCCCTCGAAAACGTGGCCGCTCGACCGCCAAACCGGAGAGCGAGCGGATGACGAGGGCCTCGCCCGGAACAGCTCCGCCGAAGACGGGGAGTCGGCCCGAAAAGCGCCGGCCGAAGACGAGGCGTCAACGGAGGGCTCCCCGGGACCCGAGCCGGCGGCCGAGGAGGACGGACGGAGCGAGAGCCGCGACGCCCCGGTCAAGTCCTGGCTGCTGGAGAGGATTCGGGCTCCCATCCCAGGTAGGGCGGGACCCCTGGCTGGACGCCCCGCAACCGGGACGACCATATGGACAATACGAGGCCTCCGAAGAATCTCGGTCCAAGGCTCGATCGGGGAACGGCTCTCGCAGGTTCCAGCTAAGCTAAGCGCCGCGTCTTTGGCTGTGCGCAGACATGCTCCTCTCGTCCGAGGAGAGGAGTCAGACCCCCCCCATGTTCCTGTGCTTCAAAGTGGGAAAGCCCATGAGGAAATCCTTTGCCGCCGGGACGACGTCCAGCCCGGCGCCTTCCTCGGGAAAGAAAGCCGAGTACTGGTTTGCCGTGCCGCAGGAGAGGTGAGGCGGTGATATCGGTGGGGGGGCTTCTCCTTGTCTCCCACAGGGGGGGAGAGCTCACCGAGTGTGCGTGCGCCTTTCAGAGTGGACCACCTGTACGGCTTTTTCGTCCAGTGGTCTCCCGACGTGTACGGCAAGGAGGCGAGGGAGCAGGGCTTCGTGGTGGTGGAGAAGGACGAGCTCGACATGATCGACAACTTCTTTGGCGACCCCGCCTCCTGCAGCTGGGAGGTCAGAAAAGCCCCCCCACATACACTCGACGTGTTTTCTGTACTTGAGTGTTGGGCTCGTGAGCACACTCGGATCACTCTTGCCTCGTCAATGTTTACGGTCGCGTCGAAAGGTTTGCGGCATGTTATCGCCGCATCAAAACATCGCACGGGGCGTCCAAAGTTTCGGCGTTCTCCGACTCGATAATTTGTTCCCAGATCATCACGATCGACGAGGCCAAGCGGAGGCAGAGTTTCGGCAGCGGCGAGGGTGAAGCGGCGGCGTACGGGCTCCCGCTGTTGAGCGACGCCAGCGACCTCCTGCAGGACACGCACGTGGAGAAGGTAGACCGACCGCCTTACCCCGTTGACTGCCCGGGATACGTTCCGCTCTCGAGGTGACAGTCGATTTCGCCGAGGCCCTACGTGCCGGCTTCAAGCCGTTTCTTTGTCATTCCAAGCTAGCACGTCCAACCGGCGCAAATGACGCCAAACCGTATCCACTGGCTTCATGCTAACGCTTCACGTGAAACGCCATAGACGGGCTAACTTGACGGCTTGCGCTCCTCCCCCCAGCTGGCCTGTCGCTTGCCGGCTCGCGTGCACGGTTACCCGTGGCGGCTTGCCTACAGCACGGTGAAACACGGCACGAGCCTCAAGACGCTCTACCGCAACCTGCTCGACGTGGACAGTCCGGTTCTGCTGGTCATCAAAGACGTCGAGAACCAGGTAGACGGGATCGATCGATCGATCAATAAGCCCGCCCGGGGGACAGGGCCCCCCCCCCCGAGAGAGGGAACCTCATTTGGGAAATTTGCCGTCCCGGCAGATCTTCGGAGCGTTCTCCACTCACCCCTTCAGAATCAGCGAGCACTGTTACGGCACCGGCGAGACTTTCCTCTACAGCTTCTGTCCCGAGATCAAGGTTTGCGCCTTTTTTTTTTTCCACGGGCGAGTCATTTGCATTGGCATCTGGCGGCGCGCCTCCGCAACGTCCGGCCGCCTTGTTCGCAGGTGTACCGCTGGACGGGAGAGAACTCGTACTTTGTCAAAGGCAACGTTGACTCGCTGCAGATGGGAGGAGGCAGGTAGGCGGATACGAAGCCGCGGGAATGATAGCACGTTACTTAGTCGAGAGGCTGCCGTCGCTACTTGCCTCGTTTCTTTGTTGTCTTTCCTTGTGCAGCGGCCAGCTGGGCCTGTGGCTCGACGCCGGGCTGGACCGGGGCACCACCACGAGGTGCGCCACCTTCAAAAACCAGCCCCTCTCCGCCCGCCGGGACTTCAACGTCCACAGTCTGGAGGTGTGGAGCTTCCAGTAACTCCCGCGGACATTTTCGGCCGACGATGGCTCGGGGGGGCGCGGCCGCCCGAAGTGATCCTCGAGGTCGGCCGAGGACCCCGGCCGGCGCTCGTCGGTTACCCGCATGCGGACCGCCTCCATGCGGAGCTCGGAAGAACAAGGCGGAGCCCCGAAGCTGGAGCTTCAACCTCCGCTGAGCAAAAGGGACGCATTTGCATACCTGCCTCTGCAAAGACCGTATGGAGTGAAAGCCGCTTCTTATCACGAGAGAGGAGGAAAAACCTGCGCTCGTTTCACCCCCCCCCCCCCCCCCCCCCCCCACACCCCCCCCCCCCTGCACACTTGCAACACACTTGACCTTGTAAAACGCACGATCTCAAACACTGTTAAAAGTAGGCCTCGCTAGTGGCACAGACACGAGTAGTGCTTTTTGAAGTAGTTCTTATTGGCGCTGTCGCTCAAGACAGTTCTTACTTCAAAAAAGCAAAACTAAACTGAAGGCGATCGTGGGCGCTTCAGGGAATTTGTGTCGCTTCTCGTTGAAGGCTACGTACGGAGGGAGAAAATGAAAGCGTATGTATTGAACCCCAAATGTATTCACCAAAGTCTGCCGGTTAAATGCTAAGGTCACAAGGTGAGCCCCGAACCCACCCGTGGCGCGGACGTTTTATGGCGCAAGGCCAAAGTGTCCGCGCGAGCCCTCTGCTCCCAGGCGGGGAGCCCCGCCGCTCGCTTGCGACTTTCTGCCCTCCGGCCATGTGGCGCTTTTCGCCAACCGGCGTGCGAACGGCAAGAGGTGAATACGCAACTTGGTCGCTCGTTCCTCCCCTAAACTTGCCACATTGTTTGTGCCAATGTGCAGCCGATGACGGCAAAGGAAGCGCGGAGGCGCTTTTTTGTGTGTGTGTGTGTCGAGTTGAAGGAAATGGAAGCTGATTGTTGTCACTTCCCCAATTGGAACGTTTGTTGTGCACTTGCGCTCATCTTCATCTGACCGACCGAGCCTGCGAAATCACATTTGCGCGTCAACGGGACCGGAACGTGGCAGCAATTCCATTCGCAGACCAAATCATTTTCATTTGTTCTTTCATATTTTGTTTTTGCAATTTTTTTTGGAACGCTTGTATTTTTTTTATAGAGATACTGTGTTTTATTTTATGACTCGATGCAAGCCGACGAGCACGATACAAATAATTCCCCCATCCCGCTCCCGTTTCTGGTCGTCGAAGGCATTTTACAGCCCGGAGAGAAGATTCATCGCCTTTGCACTACCGACGGGATTAAAAGGCATGTGCAGTACATCGGAATGAATGAACGCCACTCGCCACAAAAAGGGACCCCGTCATTTGTCGCTGCACTCTGACGTACTGCGCCACTCTTACTGCAAAAATTCATCCTGTACAGTGTTTGGATATCCTGCGCACTAATCGAAACGGTCGTCTGCCATTGCGATGCCAGTTGCGTGTCTTCCGAGCTACGCCGCTTCTGTAGTTGTTACTGTGAAGGCGCCCCCAGTAGTCTCATTTCTTGTGACCCCCCAAAGCTGCTGCTGCTGCTGTCTTGTGTGAGCGAGGCTCTATTTATTCTGTCGTCGCAACCCCATTTGAACGGGAATAAACGTAAGTGTGGCTCTTTGCTGCTCATTTCGAACCCTCCGTTCACCTGCCAGGCGTGCTTTGCTTTGGGATTGTGGGAGGAAAGCGGAGTGCCGGGAGAAAACTCACACGGGCGCGGGAGGAACATGCACAACGTCCGCACTGGGAGGCCGCAGCCGGAATCGAACCTTTCACCTCTGCGCTGTGCGGTCGACGCGCTAACCACTGGCACACCGGGCTGCCCGCTGTCATGTCCGGTTGCAGTATTTCCTCTGACTTGACTTGTTATACTGATTTCGTCCAGCGGGGGCAGTAGCGAGAAGAACGCAATGCCGGATGTATTCAGAAGAAGAAGACGACGAAGAAGACCGAGAGGCGCCTGACTGCAAAAATTTGAATTGGCCTCGATTTGACTTTGAAGCGATGTCTCAGGTAAGGGGAAAAAAAAGAAGACCTCGTTTTCTCCCTTACACGTTGTCGTGAATTCCGAATGGGTCGACTTGATGATCGTAACGTTACATTTTTCCTTTTCTCGGAAATGACGACTTTGTTCTTGGGAAACGAAGTCGATCCATTTTCGTCCCAAAGACTGCAATTTTTGACTTTAGTCGCAAAGATGCTCAGATTTATTCTCATCGTTACCATTTGAACAAATCGACACTTGACCTGACGCGCAAGACAGCCGTGTACGTTGTGACTTCCGCGAGATGATTTGTCGATTGTCGCGTCACCTCCAGGCCGCGATGGCCGCCGACCTGCTGCCGGGCGAACAAGTGGAAAAGATCCACCGGGACGGCGCTCATCTGTGGGTCACTTCGATTCGGCCACTTGGGCACCGAAGTAGTCGGAGGCGACTTTTCACATCTGCGTCTCGCCGGTGGTGCAAAGTTCACACCTTTTTTTGTGCCTCGTCGTCTGCAGCCCGAGCCTCCAGACGGCAGAGTTGTCGTCGTCGTCTCATCCGGAGCACCAAAACGAGGACGGAGTGCCAATTGGGCGAGGGTACCGCAGAGATCTGCTGACCGACGACGGCGCGGAGCTGTGCTTCGAGGAGGTCCGAGCTCAAGTCTTCCGGAAGGGCCGACAGAAGCGGCTGGATGGTGAGTACGCCCGCCCCGATCGCTTGCTGTCGGGCGGGCGTCTCTCCCGCCGACCTCGTTGCCGATGGGAGAGGAGCTCGTTCACGAGAGCCCCCGTGAGTGTTGACGACGCGCATTTCTCGTTTTATTTTCCACCCCAGAGAAAAGGCAGTGCCTGCGTGAAGAGAGGACGCAGTTGGAGCTGCAAGTGGCGCGCATGAGTAGCCTGCTCAAGCGGCCCGCGCATCAGAGCCCTTCCTTTGGCATCTTGGAGGATCTCGCTTCGCCGCCTCCTCAATCTTGCAGGTAAGAAGGGATTTGGCGGCAGGGGGGCACACTTCCCGGACTGCCCTCTCATCGGCACCCGAGTTGTCGAATGGGCTTTCGTCCCCGCGCGGCCACTGGCGCCACCCGGCTCACCGTCCCGCCGTGCGAGGTGACGGAACCAATCCGGCTCCTATTTCAAGGCGCCGCCGCGCAAAGGTTGTCCGGCCGCGGCGCGGACCGACTGGACTTGACTTGTGATCCGACAGGACGTTGGAGGCGGAGTTGCCGGCCACGGAAGACGCGCGTCTGGAAGGTGCCGCCTCTTTGCCCGAGCGGGCTCAGGTGAGTCGCGAGCTGAAGCGAGCCCTTGCGACAGGCGAGTCACAAAAGCTCTCCGCCTGCTTTCACAGCCTTGCGGGAGCCCGACCCGAGACCAGGATGTGCTCCCTCACGCCCGAGTCAGCTGCGGCCCCCCAGGTGAGACTCTCATGGGGTACCTTGACCGACAAGTGCCCTCGACTTTCACACATCTTCACCCACACCGTCAATTATTTCGAGATTTATTTGTTTGTTTATTCGAATAATGTTTTGATTTAAAAAAAAAAAAAAAATCTCCATCCCGTGATTGAAAACTAGGCCACGATTTCAAACCGAGCACGAGAACACTTCACATGATGATGATGGACATTTTCCAAATCACCGGAGGTTGTAACGTTTGCAATGGTGCTTTTGGGGACGGCACGAGTGTGCGTCCGTCTTTGCGATTGAAACTGAGCGTTTGCCGCGCGCGATGCTGCCGCTCCTTGTGCACTAGATGAAGGCGCCGGGAGTGCCGACCTGCGCGGGCGGCTGCTGGAGCCATGCGACATCGCTTCCTGGGCCAACTTCCACCAGGAAACGCGGCCTCTGCCGGACATCGGAGAACACGGCTCCCTGTGGCTCGGTGCGTCGCTCGCATTTTGCCGTCTGATGATTGTGGCCCTCTCAAAAATGTCCACTCGGAATCCAGTTTTTCAAAAAATAAGTTTTTTTAATTCTAATATACACGCGGGAGGGAAGGGGGGAGTGGGCAGCGTGCACGCACGTCCCCAAGCTGCTGGTGCTGAATCAAATCAATCGCGGCGCCGTCCGCCCACGGTGACCATTGCGAGTTTGTGCGCGCAGGCGGCGAGCACTACCGGACGCGCTTCCGCCTGCTGCCGGAGAGCGACGTGTTGGCCTACGAGGGCTCGCAAGATAACCACTCGGTCATCATCAAGGTGACGCGTTGGAGCGGCGGCGCCGCCCCCGCGGCGACCCTCGTGACTCGCCGTTGCCTCTTTCAGGTGGACCGCCGCCCGCTGGCGTGGGATTTTTACATGTTCAGCCATCTGAGCGGAAACTGCGCCGCCGCCGCCGAGCCGCCGCTGGCCCGGTGTCATCAGTTCCAGGACGGTTGCGTGACGGTCTACGTGGCCCCGCCCTCGCACGTCTTCTCGGTCAGTGACTTCCGGCTGGCGCGCCTCTTGTCGCGGGACCGCCTCGTGACCGTGCCGGGTGACCCTCAGGAGCTGTCTGAGCGCGTGCCGAGCGAGGATTCAGTGGCGGCGGCGGCGCGTTCCTTGCTGAAGCTGACCTCGGCGATGCACGCCGGCGGCGTCGCGCGCCCGCTGCTGCGGCCGGACGCGTTCGTCTCCTGCCACCCGTAAGCCGGTTTTTGTGGGCGGGGCTCGCTTTGGTCGGCACTCCCATCGAGCGGACGCTTTGTGGCTTTAGCGCGGCGGTGTCGGCGCGCTCCGATTGGCTGTTTCCCCTGGACTGGCGCGGGGCGGCGGAAGCGCGGGACGACGGCGA